ATACAGGACAAACAGCAAAGTAATACAGTTATTTACTAATAAGAAAACCCTAACTTTTCTTATTAGTAAAATGAAAACAAAATAGACACTATTACCATGCATAAGAATCTACATAATTTTATGGACAGTAGGTGTGATGTAGAGTGTTACTCATACAGAGTCTGTGCTGACAAGTCATTAATTACTAGTTGTTAGTAGACATATTTGTATAATGTTCCAGACTTTCTTGAGTTTTATCATCTCAATCTGAGAAACAATAACTACAATTTTTCTAAAACAATAAACATTCTTATTTCCTTTCAAAACAATCAAATAAACCCCAGCCTGTTCCCAGTAGCTATGAGGAGTCTCTGCAGGAGAATAAAAAACCTCCCTAAGAGGCATTGTATTTTTAAAATTTCCTTATACCTACAATCACAATTTTAGAGACATCATTTAAAGCTGTCACTGAGGTTGACAGCATTATGCCTCTTCTGCAGACTGAAGACTTCAGACTCTGAGCTGTCATGCCAGTACCTTTAGCAGCAATCATTTTGTTTGAAGTGGTTTTAAGAAATAAAAACAACTGAATCAAACACAAACAAACAAACCACACAAGAGGCTTCCTGTTGTACAGAATTTATGGTAGGCAATATTTGCAGAAGGAAAATGGGACTTCGCATTTCCAATTATGAGGTGCTATAAACTGTTCAAGACGAGCTACTGGTGCCCCCGTGCGTTTTAGTGAGATTTTTACTGTTGTCCTATGCAGGGTATAAAAGGCCTGAAATTTACATTATATGCTTATTCTCTTCCACTCCTCAGAAAAAGGAAAACAACTGAAAACCAAACAATAACAAACAAACAAACAAACAAAAAACCCCTTAAATATTGGCACAAAATTGTAAGCATGCAAGGAAAGAAAAAGAAGTGTTGTCTGTTACCTCATAAATGCCCTGCCAGACAGAAAAAATAACGTTATGTTTTTTGAAATGTCAAATGCATTTCTTTATTTTATTCTTTTTTTTCCTCTTTTAACATAGATGCAGACCCCTTCATATTTGCAGAAAGCTTGAATATATCCCAGTAAGGCTTGCATAGTATTTTAGTGATAAGCTGAACAGTAAGCACAGAAACACAGCTACTCATTAAAAATTCCTAATTTGCTTTTCTATGTTTTCCAGTCTTTTTATAGATGCTGCTAAGTGACTCCAATATAGCTTTCTGATAAAATGAATTAACAAGGAGAGTGAATATTATTAGAGAAATTAGACTACTTAATACGAGTTTATTACTTTTTGGAATTAGGGGATGTACAGAAAGAGAAGTCTATTAAGTGGCCAGCAAAACAACAGCTGCTCCCAAGACACCCCTTTCAGCCACTAAAAATGTTTTCACCTGACACTCATCAGGCAGGCTCTGTTTGGCTCCTGCCATGCTGTTATGCCATGCAGCCTGTGCTGGCTGCAGTACACCAGCACAGGGAATCAGCCAGAAAATTCCCACTTCTGGGATATATTTGTATTTATATTTAACTAGAAGAGCCCTAGCAAAGGAAGAGAGCTCACGCTGCCTCTGCACCTCCTTGAACTTCACAGGAATTTCCTGGTACATTAAACTTTCTATCAGGCATTTTCTAGGCACTACTCCTATTTTAGCTGACCTGAAGTAACAGTAAATTGACAAACACAAAGGAGAAGATTAAAAAAAAAAAAAAAAAAAAAAAAAAAAAGCCATGTGTTTAAAGATTTCAACACAAGAAAAGGCAGAAATTTCTTTCAATTAACGAGCTGTTTTTTTTTTTACCCATCAACAAGAAAACTATCTGGTCACTTCAAAAAGAGAGCATATGCTACAAAATGTATTTTCTGAAAAGTGTTCTTTTTTAGTTTTCTTTGGTATTGAATATGTTTTTGATTGAACTTTCTACAGCCAAGTCAGCACTAAACTTCTTTTGGAGGGAGGAAGGGATAGGGTGAGTGTGAAGGTAAGGAGGGAATGATCATGTACAGTTTCTTACAACACATCCACCCTCTGTTTTTTAGCATTTTAAAGTCAAAATACGATGATTAGCACCAGAAAAAAAACTGAGATAGAAAATAAGCATGATCAGGAACTCTGCTTGTGAACTAACAGCAATAATATTTCTGTTGTGTATTCATGGAAATAATAATAACATGGGAAATGTTATTATAATAGTAATTCAAATTAAAAAACATTTCATTATAACCAGGTTGCTAGAGTAAACCTGTTTATATTACAGCAGCCTAAATTTGTTCCCAAATTCCTGACAGTATGTTGCTTGCAAGTGTACACATACAGTGGGTGAATTCTTGGCATTCTGAAAGTGAGTGGTACCTCTGGAACTGTGGCTCAGCTGAAGCTGATGGCAGTGACCGCTGCCAACAATGCTGCAGGTCTGTGCTGCTGGGGCTATTTCTGACAAAAACCTTTTAAGTAAAACCATCTTCTGCAGGAACTTACTAAATGTATTCAGGTCTAATTGATAGGGGGTTGTTTTTATGCTGAGATGCAGTATCTAGTCAAAATGAGAAACAAATCCACTCCAGAGAAGTCAGGGCCTTAATGATGAGAATGCAGGCATGGAATGAACCCGGTTTTAAAATTTTTACATTGGTCACTGGAACCTGCAGTCTGAAAAGTGGTTGGAAGTCAACGCTTCTGGCAGCTCAGAATTTCTGATAAATAATAAGCATTTTATACCAAACTTAACTGTCCAACTTTTACTTTCAGTAAATCCCAATGAAGACAGTAGTTCAGACGAGTAGTTGGTGAATTACCACTTTGCCATGATGGTATTTATGATGAAAACCCTGTTTTGCTGTGATATATTCTAATAACTGAAAAACCCCTTTCTTTCCTTCCCCCTTAGATTTCCTTTCTATTATCATGTAGAATTTTTTAAGCACTTGCATATGAAATTATTAGCCAGTGAAAAGAGTGTGACTATATTATGGAAAGTCCATAGGTGAATTCTTCAGAATGTGAAACCTTGTACTGACATTATCTAAAAACATATGTACTTATTTTTTCCAGAATGAAATGCAAGTTTTGATGGATTAGCTATCCTATAATTCATGGTCTGTATTTAAAAATAGACTCACAGTGGAAATTCACCGAATTATATGTACTTGTTTAAAACAGCAGTATGAGAAAATATTTTGTTCAATGATGTAAGACCCCATTAACCTTGAAACTGGAAACAACACTTTCTTAGGTTGAAGTTTCTAATCAGATGCTTTTAGACATACATACCTAGAGACAGACACACATCACCCAAGTAACCAAAGGAAGAGTAAGTAGTTACTATCTGAAAAACTCACCACAGAATACTCAATAAAAAGCAACATTTCATTCAAAGGTCTGTTTTACTTGCCTATTTCTCAATGACAGCGTTCACCCCTCAAGACCATATTACTTTTGCAGAAATTTCTCAATAGGCTGTTAAATATCCATGGTAGGCTTGAAAAAAAACCAAAAAAACCAGAAAGAGAGTCATCCTCATCTGAGCAAGACGGAGAGTTAAGTATGATAAATCAACTGGATTTCAGTTTTACTCTGTTACATATGTAGACGGATTTTTTTTAATTTGAAAAAAAAATAAAAGGATAAACAAAAAAATGTTTGTCCAACCTGCTGCTTGTGGAAGACTGTAGGGATGACTGGAACACTAGCAATTACTTCAACCTCACAAACACTAGAAAACTTTTGATACTTATATGAAGAGATGCACAGACCGGTTTTGCTAACACTGTAATTAGAAATTAACATCAAACAGCCAAGATTAAATATTTGACATAGATTCATATTTGCTTATATTTTCTAAGGTTTCTCTTTTAAAAAAAAAGAATGTCTAGGAAAAAGAGGAAAATTGAGAGTAAAATCACTCACTTCTACCATCTGTCCCAATTTCTCTATGCATGAACATTCTTAAAGGAGAAAAGGGTACACACCAAATAATGCTCTTTAAACTAGTATCTGTTATTTAAGTTTGCAGAAAAATGTGTGTCCATCAAAGTTTCTTTGGAAAATATATAAACTTAGGTCTGCATTTATCTGGAAGAAATGCCTATTCAGCTTTAGTCCTCTCCCTGGTCTCAATTAAAGCAATTGTATCTGTTTGGGTAGGACAGTCTGCAAATCAGAATGAGGATAAAACAGAAAACATAGACTTATGAACTGGGAGGCCTTTACTGCACTGTGTCAGACTGACTTAATTCTGAGAGGAAGGTTGAGGGATTCTGCCCTGTTTTGATGTTCACACATAAACAATAATATTTGGAGTTTCATACCTTCAACCTTTTGCTGTCATGACAAAATAAAAGCTGGTTTGTTCAGTTAAAATAGCAACACTCTGAAACATTATCCAAATAACCTAACATTTGAGCCAGATATTTCAAATTATTTACATAACTATAGAAGACTGACTCCAAGGAAAAGTTACACAGTGTGAGATCAGATGTAATGGCCACAAAAAAATGAAGTTGAGCCCAGAGCATTCATCTCTGCAACATGGTTTTGAGGTGCTACTTGTGGACACAGGGAGAGGAGCACCCCCAGTGTAAGGTTTATCCCTTTATCTCACATGGCACCACAACCAATTGACCTCTTCTGGTTTGCAAATGTTTCTAAATATCCATGGAATTTGGGCTCTACAGATAACATTTGTTTCATGTGAAATACATGTGCAATATATTTATACATAGTATTCAGGAAAAATTTAGCAAACCCATTGTTTTGAGGCACTAGAGATTAGACAATGCCAAGACAACATAACTTTTTCTGCAAAGCCTGTACCTTAAAAAAGCCCAATACTTCTGCCAAAAACATTACATTAAGGAAGGTGGAAGGTGGATGGTGATTTTAAAACAAAAATCAAACAACATGGTAAAGCAGTCTATGACTTTATGCTTAAGATATTCTTTCTGCATCTAAAAACAAAATACTGTTACCAAAGTATACTAATAAGTTAATCATAACTCAAAATAGAAATTAGCTACCTTCAATGCTCTGTGGACCAACAAGATTCGTAGCCTGATGTGCTGGATATTCTACCCGGGGTCTGGCAATGCCCAATTGCTCCATAACCCCATGGAGGAGCCTCTGAATATCTGCTTCAGTAACCCTGTCAGGTGTCCTCGGGCTGTGGCTAAAAGCTGAAGCCAATCCAAACGCCAGCAGAAATATCATGTTGCAAAGCAAGGTAGTTATCATAGTTGCAGCCACTTTCATCCTGTCAAAAAGAAAGGAATTTGATTATAAATTATACTGGGGGGAAAAAAGTCCTACACATATGGCAGAAACAACATCTGATCCTACTATTGGACTTCATACAGTTTACTACCACAGGTTCTAGGGGCAGCTGGAAATCTAGCCAGCTGCAAACTGGGTGTGGGGAGCCAGGGACAGAATAGGGTGCATACGTTCTTCTCTTCTAAAAGAAATATTTAGCAGCAAACTGCAGAAATCAATTTGCTGATCTGCATTTTTCTGTAACATTAATTAACAGTCGCTGCAAACAAAATTAATCCACTTTTTCATTTGATGAGAATACGTCATCCACTACACCATCCACCCCCTCCATGTTTATTATGCTATTTATAAAGCTCTGGTCTAAAAGCCAAGAACTCTTCATCCAGGAACTGTGTTTTCCAGGCTCTATTATTTCATTGCCTGAAAAATCAATAATAAGAGCCTGCCGAACAACCTGGATGTGTTTTGTTTGCACCTTAAGACAAAAGGCTTCCGACTTCCTATGCACCGTGTTTCCCACCTGAAGCAAATAGATTTTGTTTCTTTCCTTGAATCCGTTTCATTAAATGGCTGCACGGTGTGGTTTAATTAGGACAAAAACACCCCAAAGCCGCCAACAACAACAAAAAAACCACAAGTACCACTTACTGTCCTCTGTTAGGCTGAATTTTAATCAGAATGCTTGCCTTCTTAAAGCTCCTTTCCCCCTCACATCAGACACTAATTGAAATGCATCACTTCCAGTCCCCTGGATAAACAAAACCCCCTCGAGCTCCCCTTGTCTTCCTTAACACACGCGCAGCTGCCTGATTTCTTCACGCCAGATGTCTAAAGATGCTCCAATGCTCCAGCCTCCGGCTCAAGGCACCTGAAAACGCCTTTGAGGCAAAAATGGCTGAAACCCTCAAAGCTGGGAATGTTCCCCGCTCGGCCTGTGCGCGGCTCCGCCAGCGCACCGCGCTCCTTCCGCAGCCCTCCCGCTCCATCGGCCTCTGCAGCCCCCGCCTCGAGGGCAAACATCTGCTTTCCACAGAGCCTTCCCGCTGCCCTCCGCCGCCAGCGGGCCGCCATCCCCTCCCTTCCCCTCGGCAGCAGCCCGGAGCCGCCGGGCCGGAGCGCCCCGCTCACCTCCGCTCGCAGCGCGGCTCTGCGGGGCGGCGGCTCCGCGGCCGCGCATCCTCCGTGCGCAGCCGGGGCCGGGGGCTGCCCGCACGGACAGGGAGCTCCTGGGGGCTTTGGCCCACACACACAGAGCTCGGGGGATGTAAAAAACCTCCCTTTTTAACTTAACAGTCTAAAAATACAACTGAAGGGTTTTGATGCCTTAACGGTGACAGAAATAATTACATACTCCTGGGAGAGTATCCATCTTGCTGCTGTCATTTCTGTCTCTACAATACTACAATCCATGGTTTAGTGTTACCTAACTGCAGGTTTACAGGGCAGCAACACGGCAACCATCTCCAAGGCCTTGAAGGTAAATGGCTCCAATTAAGCAAATCTAGACACATCATGCAGTGTGAATGTTACCAATAAGGTAACTACACAAGTCCTGTTAATGGAGTTGCTCATCTAACACAACATGTGGCAAAACAGTAGCTTCTAAAAGTTATTTTATGTGTCACACCTTCACTGCTACTGATGGGAATGCATCACATCGCAGTTTAGTATAGCTGTCCACAAAGAAGTTGAGATTATGCCCCATAAATCGCAACGGTCCCATTGAACTGCACTTGTACATGTGGATTATTCTCTTTTTACCAGTCTCTGGTACATTATGGAAGTTGTAACTTGCAGGATTAAGCAGAAGGGACTTCCACTTGGCATCTAGTGTTTTTTTCAGCAAAATATAATCAACTTTACATAAAGGGATGTTTGTCCAAACTGTTCTGCAAAACTTCTAAAAACAGAACTTCCTTAAACCATTTTTTTCTGATACAGGTTTCTTTGTCAGGGCCCTACCAAGTTCCCCCTAAGAATCTAAATTTAGATGCTTCAAGACTAGCTTGAATGGATGATCAAAAGTAGCTTACTGCTCCACACACTGTTAATATATACCAAATATTTTGAATGCTAATGCAGCTGTGACAATCTCAAGTCTTAATCTTCTGAACAAGAATCAGTGTGACACCTCACTATTACAGGAGTCAGACCTCATTTTTCTTCCTGACCCTGCCTTTATTTCCTCCTGTCCTATTTCCAGCTCCTACCTCCTTGCATCAGCGATCACAGCTGGGAGATGTTTTGCTGATCCTTACCCGAGATGATCCAAAACATGGTGCTCTGGTGCCTGCTCAGCCTACTGAGGGATCTGCCAGCACCAGTTTAAGGCAGGGAGTAGGAACATGGAGCCAAGAGAAGCAGCTTCCTCTTTGGATGGTGGTGAACTGCAATATTCACTCCTTTACTTCATGAAGCTGAAGTTTCCCATTCTTAACCATAGCACCAAGCAATCTGGTTAAGATCCCCTCATGGCTGGCTCGCTGGTATTAGGTATTACAGAAATGTAGCAAGACTGAGGCAGAAGGTTTCCACAGATCAAGTAGCTGAACCAATTCAGCTTGCAAATTGGTGGATGCATAGGGAAGGAGATAGGGAACAGAAAATAACTATTCTTTTGATTAACATACCCTTTGAAGAGATTCAGAAGACTACTGCTGATAAACTATACTGCATCATGCCTTTTGCTAGTTGTGAGAATTACAAACGTGTAGCTAAGATGAAGAAAAAGGACAGCCAGAACAGATTTACTTCTGGCTTCAGTATTTTCAGACTTACTAATTTTGGTGTCCAGAGTCTGCATATAACAGCATAATCTAACTTTCCAAGTCATTATAAAAGAACAAAGCTCAGAAAAGGGATAAAACAATGGTTTTATTAAAACCAAAAGTACCCAGTGCTTCAGCTCTAACCTTTTGCCAATAAGCAATTCACACACATAAAAAGCTAATGAACGGTTTCAAGTGTTTACTCTTAAATAATTTTACAACTGATGACAGACAAACAGTTTTCATTCCAAAAGATGTAAACATTTGCTTGTGCAAATCAACCTTTAACATGCTATGGCTTCTCACATTCGTCTCTTGCAACACTTTAAGCATCTATACCCAGCTTCTGCACCACACAGTTAACATAATTCTACAGCTCTAAAAATAAGTTAAAACTCCCCTCATATTAAGATAAAACATTTTATGACTCATAACTGAAAATACTTGGTACCTACTGTAGTACACAACACTGGATGAAGTTTTAAGACTTTTCAGTTCTTGAATAAACTGCACATTTTGTTCTAATAATTCTCCAGTGTGTGTGCACACAGGGATTATGTTTTGACATTTACCTACTCAACTAGTAAAATACGCTCCCAATTTACTCCAACAAAAATAAAAAACATCGTCTCAAAAGAAATAGAGCTCATATGAGGTCCAACTTAGTAGTATCAAGGGGTGCTACAGTACACTTAAAACTAAAAAGTAAACTAATTTAACTGCTAAATGCTCAGCATCAAAACACTTCCCTTCACATGTCTGTTACATTTGTTTTAAATATTTGAGAAATTGTTTCTGAACTTAATCTAAATACTGCAAGAACAGTTTTGGGAGATGCAGCACGTTTAGAAGCTGAGATGATCAAAACTTGAGATCTAACACAAACATTTGTGTTAGATTATCTACAGATTAACAGATTGTTTTATAAGTCAAATTCATTTACTTGAACTGACTAGCATTTACAGAAGTTTCAGTAAATGAAGAAAACCTCAACATTAAACAAATTGCTATTTGTACATCTTCACAACTCATTCATTTAAAACAAATGAAAAATTACAAATATGAAGAGCTAGAAAAATATCATACAAATTTAGATTTTTCCAAAAGTTAACCAAGTTACAAAGAACCCATTTAGCCATTACATTTGTTCTTATAAGTCTACAGGCTTTGCAGTTGGTAGCAGTTTTACTTCAGATATTGGATTCTTTGGAGAGCCTCTGTAACGAACTCTTTCTTTTCCTGAAGCACTTCTTGTGATTATAGATTTTTCTTGGGCAGCACCTGGAATATTTATATTTGCATTAACTTTCAAACTGGATTTAACCATTTCATGATTGGTTAGATCTTCTAGAACAGACTTTGATGGACGAACAGTTGTTTTTTGTTCATGGATTCCAACAGCTCTGACAGAAACATCAGGCCTGTCTGACGGATTTAATGGCCTGCAACATGATTTGGATGTTAAGTCTAGCTGCTTAGCTACAGAAACTTGGTCACGTGTGCTTTCACACCTGCGTGGCAAAAGCATGGAATTCTTTGAGAATTTTTCTGTGCAGGGGAATAGGGCAGAATCATAGCTCAAAGATTTAACAAGTGGTGAACCAACACCACTCGATTTAACCGTCTGAGAGCTTACAGATTGTCTGTTAGCCTCCAAAAGGGAATTCATTCTCCTTACAGACTGTCTAACTGGAGTACGTTGAAACTTCAGAGGTGGTTTAGTTATGCTTGTGGAATTTGAATCATTTAATGAAAGCTGGTTGAACCACTGTATGTGGTCAGAAACCTTCCCATGGTCAGAAACAGTTGATGTTTTAACTAAAACTTTATCTGAATTTTCAGCTTTCAAGTACTGGTTGCCCATTTCATTTTGTGATTTAGGCAACTGCAAAGTATGCAGTTGTCCTGCCAAAGAAGGTTTAGCAGTACTCTCTTCCAAGTTACAGCACTTTACCATAGAGTTTTCAGCTGTTTGTGAGTGTATTAATTCTACTGCCTCTCTTCTTCCAGAGAAATCTGATTTGTGTAAGTCATCTTTTGCTGAACTGTTCTCAACAGTACACTTATCTTCCTTGGCTAGTAATTGAGGCATAGGAAGTTCTTTTACTTCTTTTATATCTGGTTTTGGGACCTGAAGTTCAATCTCAATAGAAGTTTTGAAGTTTCTTTTCTCCAAAATGTCAATTTCCTCTTTTTTTGATTGCTGTTCATCAGCAGCAGAAGATTGATTAAATTGGTGCAACAGCTCTCTGGATTTTACATTTACTAGATTTTCAGAAACTTCTTCCACTAACAATTCTTTTGCTGAACTGAGCCCTGAGGGACACGGAGTTTCATTTAATATTTCACTTGCTATAACTGAGAGGGATGACTTTTTATCACCTACCAAATTGTGAAGAATATTACCAGATGCAGAGAAGGCTTGCTTAACTTTCAGTAATGTTTCTGTAGTTGAATTATTTTCATCTTCACAAAGCACAAGTTCCACATTGTTGTCCTGTTTGCTTACAGTTGCACATTTGAATTCATTTGGAATAACTGGTGGCTTTTCAAATATCAAAACAGATTCTGAAGAGCTGACTCCCATTTCAGAGTGTCCAGGCAGAATTTGCTCATTCTTGTTGATCACCTGAGAATCTGTAACAGCAGGACTATTCCATGACATTCGGTGAATGACTTTATCGTGACATTTTGGAGTTAACAAGTTTTCTTCTGACTTGCTTACATTCCTTGAACCTTAAAATAAATACCACAGTGTTTAAGAATTATTTGTGAATTTAATAACTATAGATAAAAATTCTTACTAAAAGTAATTACCAAAGCAACACTGAATTTTAAGATGCCATTATGCCCTTAAATTTCAGAAATGTAAGCTTAAAATACTAAGTGAAATCATGCATCTCCTCTCGTTTAAGTAAGAGAGTTACTAAAGTACACTAGAAACACAATAAGCTTGCTCTAAAAACCTATTCTTTTTCCCAAGAAGCTATCAACACACAAGTGGCTTTTGACCTAGCTATAAGTTAATCCAATTGCTTTTATACTTTTATGCATAAAGTTGCTTTTGTAAAGTAAAAAAAGTTTTCCCCATC